TAAGTATCAGAGCCTAGCTGCATGTGGTTCCAAACCTAAACCTGGTAGTTTATCTATAATTGACAATCGCTGCCTTTGGAAGTCACCCAAACCCAATGGGAGAGCCCACGATGTGGCGGGCAGTCCACTTATTAAGCCTTAAATCTGAGATGGAGATCGCAAAAAGAAAAAACACACTTCCAAACACTATCTCAGACATTAGTTATTGTGTCTACGAGAAGTTATGTCTTAAGTGAGCAGCTTCATGTCTTTAAGGCGAGTTTGGTGAGGAAATCATGCTAACCTGCATGTCACGGTCTACACTTCACTGTGTGTTGTCCGTGCGTCACTGTGCCTCTCCTCTTCTGTACTGACTTTTATATGGCCTTGGCTGGCAGCAGGGAACCTCCTCCGTGGCAGCCCACTAAGCCAAATTGATTATAAGAAGGCCCTCCTTTTCGAAGAGGTCTGCCCCCCCCAACCCCCCCACAGGCAATCTCTCTAATGGCCTCCCAGCAACCCTGTCACCACAGAGCATCAAGGACCAAGGGAGGGGAGATTCAAGGACAATAGGGCCAGGTCAGTGGAGGAATGGACCATTCATCACCACATTGGTCTACTTTCGGGAGAAAAAGAGAGCGAGTTTGTCTTGGCTGGAGCTGACATTTGTAAAAGTGGTCACAGTGTAACTGTCACAAAAACACGTTGTCTGTAGATATTATAGTTTGGGCCAATCATGGAAGTATCGTTGTAATCACTGTGATCTTCCGTTAAGTGTTTTTAAACCACTCCACGTCAATGTCAGTGTAGTTTTAACCTCTGTCAATAGCACTTGAGCTGCTCCCATTTTCTGATTGTGTGTCCTCAGCAATGGCCATTGAGCCTATAAAAACCTAGGAATAAACGCCCAACAGTGAAGCAACAACAACATAAAACGTAGCAATCTCTGAAAGTCGAAGGAAGACACACCAATATTAGAGTCAACGCCTGAAACATTGACTCTGTGATCTGTTGAATACCCCTTTCGAACACATAAGTATGTGTAGGGACGTGATTCCTTTAGGCCGTAAACATATGATGTCATCAAAAGCCAACAGCCAAAGATCAATGCTGTAGATTACACGATACTTGAGAAGTTTTCTGAAAAGCTCAATCTGATATTCAAACCCAATTCCCGCTCTGATTGCCAGCTGTGTGGAGGTGAGGAAGGAGCCAAGGACTGACACAATTATTTCTGTCACTTTGCATGTGGACAACCACGTTTATTACACAATCAGACTGTCTTTAGCGGGGCACCGTCATCCCCGTATTTAAACAATACCTTCCAGCGGGGCCAGCTGGAACAACTATCCTTGTGACCTCAGCACTGAGTACATCGCTCTGTGTTGTTTTCCATAGCAGTCTTCTTTGTTTGTCCACAGGTGGAACAAAGAAGGCACAGCTGCCCTCTAGTAATTTACTTCCATTAATTTCAGCCTTGAAGAGGTATTGAAATGGAAGAACCCATAGCCGAGTGGTTCGGGCGCATACCATATGGCAATCTACCTGCCAGTAATATAAAGTCAACCCTGGGTCGAATCGAAGGATTCCTGTTTTATGCTCTTTGAGCAACAAAGAATAGAACATTCAAACTCAAAGCTACAAGCACCATCAAGGTCCAGTGTTAATTTAAAGTTTCTCTTCTGAAAAATGAGAAATTATTGGTGAGTAGAGGCAGAGGCAGCTCAGGCATCCGTATAATTACGGGAAAATTACATTCATTATTGTAATTTACATCTCATCTCCAATCCAATTATTAGCAGTTTGACCTGCACGGCACATGTTAGCATGGAAATCTAAAATGGGCTCCCAAGACGGAGGCGAGGGGAGGGGTGGAGGACAGACAGAAAGCGAGAGGCATGAGTTTGGGACTTTGGGAGTTGTAGGAGGGGAAAAAACAATCAATATGGCTCTAAAAGATGATGATTTTAAATAGCCATAATTCTCTGCCTCAGAGCACAGCTGCCAAGGGCGCCGCTGCAACACTTTGATGTCTGATATGCAATATTGCTGCCAGTAATTTGCTCATCTGCATCTCTGGAGGGACCATCTGCCTGTCGTGTTCATCTGGCTGAGTATGTGTTGCCAGTCAGTCTGTCTGTCTGTCTCTCAATCTCTTACAATTGTTATTCACTGCATGCATATACATCTTGTGAGGTACTTCTGGAGTGGAGTGGAATTAGGGACATGTAAGTGGGAAAGAATCAGTGAAGATTATAGATAGTCACCGAGGAACAAACATATCCTGTAAACAATGCAATCTCATTGTATCCTGTTGGTATGGCTGCACTTATGTAAACTACCACGGAACAAAACGTATCATTGTCCTTACCTGACTGACTGCCTGGTTGGCTGCAGACCCCTGTCTCCCTTTTTCTAACTTTCTTCTTCACTGTTATTATCTCTGAAAAATTGCTACGGACATACCCATCACCGGGAGCGACACAGTGTGTAGGAAGCAATCAGTTCCCCTGTTTTGCCGCAATCTCGTCATTATATTTCTTGAATGCGAAACCTACAATTTACAGGGCAGCATATGCGAGGGACCGGCTGAGAAGCGTGTGTTTGTGTGGGTGGGTAGGACAGCGCTTTCATAAGCTCTCCATTGTGGTCCCAATATGAGCTAAAGATCAAACTATTATTTCACTTTTCATTCATTACTTTATGAAGTCACTCGTCAGTCGCTTGGAACACTTCATTTGCGTGAATCCATGAACACACATGGATGCCTTGCTTGCTCAGGTTATGTCACCATATATTATGGAGCGGCTGTAAAATGGATGCTACATGCTTCTCTAGCTGATTGATGCATGCATATGAGCATAAGACATAACGAGACATTTAGTAATGGACAAAGTCCATTACTAAAGTCTTGAACCCACTATGAAGAGGCAGTGCAAGTGTGAAGCTATAGGTTCATATTCATGAGCAAAGTTATATTTAGAAATATTTAGTAAGATAAGTAGTTAGACCAAACATTACGGCGGGGACGATGTGCTTATTATCTGATTTGATACCATCATGATACTTGGGTGCGACTTTTAAGTATTGCGATTGTACAAGTGTTGTGATTCGACATTACCATTTATTGTAATTTTTTACTTTTTTTAACACTAGACCATGACACATAGTTGATATCATACACTTCTAGGGACTTTAAAAATCTCTCAATTGATCAAATTAAAATGTTAAACTTTCATCACAGTCAGAGATGTCCTGAAATGATTTTTTAGCAACCTGAATGTAAAAGAATAAACACATTTCCCTTCATATTGCTATTTTCTTTTGAATTTATAAGGGACACAACATGTTTTATTTTGAGAGAGAGAGAGAGAGAGAGAGATAGATTGACTGCTGGGTGAGCTTTTTTGACTTTTAACAAGAGAGCGCGATGCACTGCGCTGTCAAGTCATGAGCTTTTCTCAGCAGAAACAGTCTATGCTTTCAAGGCAATATAAAGACAGTCAGGTCAGGCAGGAGCTTTCAGCTCCACCTCCCGTCTTCTACATTGTCTTCTAAGTTCTTCTTTGAAAATTAGACAGTGACTGCATCTGCATTCTAAACCGTTGATACATGCATTCTGCACAGCTGGATACCGACGTGTTACTAGAACCAACATAGAACGCTGGGCGAGAGCCTGATAAAAAAAAAAAACAGAAACGCATTTATCACTTTTAATAATTAAAAACAAAGTTAAACAATATGTCAGTAAGTCATTCAGGTTAGGCCCCACCCACAACACCGGGCCTGGTTTGTTTGAAGCAAGTATACAGCAGGTCAGATGGCTTCAACCAACCGATTTACTTTCACATTGCTCCATTCTCTGGAAAGATTTCCATAAATCTCCACAGTCTAACAGGCAGGTTGAGAGAAGCTTATGTCAGGGCTGGGGAGCTAAGTCTACTGTTCATTCATGTGTGTGTGTGTGTGTGTGTGTGTGTGTGTGTGTGTGAGAGTCCATGCCCGACTGTGAGTTCTGGCGTGAATGTCTTAGATGTCTTTTGAAGTTTAAGACAGCTCTGCATCAGCTCACCGGTTCCACTTCATGGGAGGTGAATATGTGGACATGAGCTACATCTGAGTCACTGGCTGCTGTGCCATTTTCTGGCTGTGTGTACCGTGTGTGTGTGTGTGTGTGGGTGCGTGCATGTCGACGTTGCTCTGGCATGTGTGCTCTTGCATGACTGATTTTCCAACTGTCTCTCAATTCCTTCAGTTGTCTCGGTTTCCACCTGTCGGCCTTACGCCGCCGTTCCCTGGACACACTGTGCCGTCTTGACAGACACTCGAGTCCGCACGATACACCCGAAGGACCGAGCCAAACAGACGCTGTGCAGTTTGTTGTGAAGCAGAAGTTTACTTTGTTGCATTTAGGTATTTGGTATTGTCCCATGACACACATCTATTGGTAACCTATAATCTTTGTGTCTTTTTATCCCTCATTCTGACAGCCCGGGAGATTCAACTTTAACTTTATCTAAGCTCGGTCCAGCTTCATGCTGTGATGTAGCTTCTCTGATTTTCACACCGTAAACATGAATAAACTGCTGAGTATACTGTATGTGCATCTTTCTGTAGTAATGTTTAGCTTTCAGATGTCAGCTTTCATGTCCATATCCTTTCAAGCTTTACATTTTGAATTCCTGCTGGTGGCACAGATTTCCTGCTCGTTCTTTAAAAAAATGCCCGACACCGGCCTTTCTGCTTTTACATAATATACTTACATCTTAACAATGTCAGTTGCTTTTTGCTAGAAGGTAGAAAATTCACTTCAAGCTCCCTGATATCCTAATGAAGTAAGTTGTAAGTAACGTTTTTTTTTGGTTTCAATTTTTGCCAAGAAAGAAAAGCCGAGCTATAGAAATGAGTATCTCATTAATTATGTGGTGTACCATTAACTTACTAATACAACATGTGATGAAGGCTTTGTTTTAAGGCCACAGTACTGAACTGTTAGTGGTGAATATTTTAATTGGACTCACTGGATCGCAGAGCGGACGGGGTGACCTCGATCTCACTGATGGCCTGGCAGGGCTGAAAGGCCGATGCTGAACTCATGTCACTGGCGAAGGGTTCCGGACTCTGCGTACCGGTGGAGCTGGCACTGGTACCGTCGCCTCCATTGTGAGGGTCCTGCTCTTCATATACTGCTACCAGCTGGAGAGAGAGAGGGGGAGTTTGTGTGTTAGTGAGTGTTTTAGAGGGTAAAGAGAGACAGACATGTCACCGGTATCTGCATAAGCAGTAAATATGGGTGTATATGTCAGATATGTGTCCAAACAATTAATGGCTACACATGTACTGTATTATATTCACATTGAGGTAATCTGCCTCAGCCCAAATCCGTCAATCATGCTGTAAGTCTTGCAGCAACTCCCTTTCTCTACAGTGTAATCTTGCAACATCTGCAGTCATGTAGCGCGGGCTGTTCCGGGTTGCCAGGTTTGGCTCCCACAGTGAGCAGCTGCTCCATTCCCACAAAGGTGATACGTTGCCATGTTTCCCGGGCCAGATAGGGAGAACTCCCCGCAGCATCCCGTAATTATCAGTATGACACACACACGGCTCATCACTGCAGCCAACTCACCCACTCAACAGGAGAGCGAGGGAGAGACAGCAGCCTGGGTTATGTTATGTACAGAGAGAGAGAGAGAGAGAGAGAGGGAGAGAGACGGAGAGAGAGAGAGAGAGAGAAAGAGAGAGAGAGATAGCAATGACGGACTAGGATCACCACCTTACAGTTGTATGCCTCTGCCAACCAGTCTCAGTTTACAAGTTGCAGTTTACGTCCATGTCTGTCCAAAATGTCATCACTTCATCATTTTATCCCATTCGACATTTGCGGTGAAATTATCATAATTAGCACATGAGTTCTTGAGTTAGGACCAAAGACGTGTTTTGTGAGGTGACAGTGACCTTTGACCCCCCCACCCAAATCAAATCAGTTCACCCTGGAGTCCAGACATAGACACAATGCCTCCAGCCACGGCTGTCGCCTGGAGCGGAGGCCAAGTGGTTTTCATTGCCATCGCAACCTCTTACCAAAAGCTCTCACGAGGAGATTACCCTCTTATTCCATCCAGACAGAGCAATCATAGCGCGGCAGCCTGATACACGACACGCTATACAGAACCATAGTATGTACATTACAGACTGGAGATGAGGTCCTTTGTATGTCTTTGTGCTACCTGCAAATCCGTGTAATGGAAGGCCACGGATGTGGGGAGAGCCACCGACAAAGCGAGCACGGGTCGCCACTGGGAGCGAACCGCTTTCATGTAAACCCCGCATTGAGTTTGTCTGAAGGTAAAAATAGCACAAGTGTTCTTCCATGTACTTGCTGTTTGTCATCACCCCTACGCAGGGAAATCTGCATACAAACAAGTTTAGAAGCCCCTGCTCTTCTTTTTTTTTTAATGGAATTCACATGCAGAGGATGATGCTTAAGTGCGTATGCTGTCTGTGTACCTGGGTCTGAATTGATGCCTTTCTGCGAGTGTGCCCGTGTGGTTTACTGCTGCCGTAACTCACGGCGACATCTCTCACGCTGGCTTCGCACAATTAAAGCGGACTGCATTTCTTTTCCTTAAGAGGTTCCCTCGCACCTCGATGCCGTCTCTGAGGCGTGCTTTGTCACTGAAGGCTTTGCCCGTTTCACTCTCATCACGTTTCAATCCGCTCTTCAAAATACATTCCTCAGGTTGTAAAGGGGTTGTTTTTTTTTGTCGCATATTTGCTCGGTGCACCAGAGAGGCAATCAGAGAGGAAAGAGATCAAAATAAGAAGGCCTTAATATTAGAAATCTAGCAGTTTGGGGAGGTAATTTGCAGAGAGTTTGCTTAATGGCATGAAAGGACTCTTTGCTTTGTGCCGTATTTTCATATCTCGTACTTTGATATCTGATTTCCTTACAAGATGTTAAAATTACTTCACTTGAGGTGGAGTATTTTGTATGTGTTTGAAGAAAGAAACATGGTGTTTTGGCTGAAAACGTGAGTGATAACGATGAAAGGACTTAGACTGGAATGAAGGGTCGTCCCCAGAGGCATTTACAGCGCCGGAGTGCATGCGCGAGCCAATGAGTCATTAGTGACAAAGTAATCAGGCCTCCCATTCATATGTTGCTGGGAGTTTTTTTCGCAACTTGACAAGCCCTCTGGCTGCCAGCTGCCCATTTAGAGAAGTGGTAAAAAGTGTTGTTGGTGTCCCGGCGAAGCGTGATTCATTTTTAAATGCATTCCAAATCCCTCTAATTAGGGTCCACTTGCATCCTTTCACCAGACTACTCCAGAGCACTCTGTGGGTATCTGACATGTACGGCTAAACTCATCCACACACCCTCCATTTCATAATCAAATGGGTCTGCATTCATCCCGCATTCAATATTTATGGGCTCTCGAAAGTGCTCATTCCTCCCTTAAACCCAGCGAGACATGAAAAGTTCCCACTGTGCACAGAGCGCATTTCTCCTTTCCGGGCGGAACCACAATCTTTTTGCTTTTTTTTTTGCTTCTTTGCTCCATCTGTTCTTGATCAGGACACGGAGGTTCAATTAATCCCCAATGGAAGTTTTCAATAAAATAGTATGGTGCAGTTTAATTGAACTGTTCTGCAAATGGTATTGAACTCATATCAGAGAGATATGGGCAGTAGGGAGAGCTATGTCTTTAGCACTGACGCATTGATGCATATCATATTAGTATCAGTCAACCGTGAGTATAATTTGTCAACCAAATTCAAAACTTTTTTTGGATTCTGAACAAGTGCGTCCTTATCTGCCAGGTCCAGTTATGGCACCTCTGGATTTTCATTCCCAGAGGTGCCAGCACTGCTTGTAGCTAGTTGTTTGTGCTGTGACCGAAACATAAAAACAGGGATGGAAGAGGGAGTCGGAGAGAAACTAAGCTTCCTCACACACTACTGGTCGACACACATGCGTAACATTGGAGGAGGTGTGGGCTCCGCGAGGCCTCCTCCACTCCTTACATCTCTCTCAGCTCTCTCCATCTGTGCTGGGGATGATGGGGCACTCTGGGCCCGGAGGGAATACTGATGCAATTGTTGCTGTTGATGGGACAGAGCTCAAGCTGCAACGCAGCGAAAACCATTACACAAACGCTTTCCCCTCCGTCTGGGAATTGGTCACAGCCACTTTTGAACTGAGACGATTTCATGTTTCAATTTTTTTTTTTACTCTCCCATTTTTTTTTCCCCCCCGGCGGGCAGCAAGTTGTACTCAGAAGTTTTTCAAAAGGAGGGGGAAAAGTTTTTTTTGCGATGAAAAAAATACGCACAGCTAATTGTCAAGTGGCGTAACAGCTGAGGAGTGAGAGCGGAGGGAGGAGCGAAAGAGAATGTCAAAGAGAACAAGATGCTACAACCGAGGATAAAACACAGTTCTATCAAAAGCAAAAGGTGGGAAAAGAGGAATGAGAGAAGGAGAGCACATGACAGGGTGTGAGTTGAAGAAATGTTCCACTTTCCAGTCTCAGGATAAACTCTGGAGCGATTTGAAAAACCTATTTAGCTCCTACCTGCTTCAGTTGAGAGAAGCGAGGAAAAGAGAAGAACCGACTGAGTCTCATTTCATGGGCCTCTCTCCCTCTCTCTCTCCCTCTCTCTCTCTCTCTCTCTCCCTCTCTCTCTCTCTCTCTCTCTCTCTCTCTCTCTCTCCAGCAGGGAGCTACAACATTGCTGCTGCCTTAAGCCCCTGGAGCAAGGCTGACACTCATCCACTCTCTCAGCCGGTTCCACTGACTGTCACAGCAGCTGCCAATCAGCCGCTATCTACCTGGAAGCCTGAGGGGGCTGCTGGAGAGAGGCAAGAGCACGGGATGGAGAGGCAGGATGATGAAGGGGTGAGGCGAGGCGGCGGAGGAGAGGAGAAGAAGCAAAAGGAAAAGAGAGAGAGGGAGAGAGAGAGAGAGTCAGAAGAGGCCGGGCATCCTCTGCAGCCTAGGTAAAGGCGGTATTTGGGATTCAGCATTTCCATATCTGTAACGGAGCGAGCGGGAGACAGGGCACCGGAAAAAAAAACAGAATCTCAGGGATGCCTTTCATGTCGGCCTCCTTTGATCTCTTTCTGGCTTTTGGCAGCAAGGGTGGTGTAGAAGAGATGGAGACGAAGCAGCTGAAGAGGGGATGAGGAGCTGTTTTGACAACCTCTCTCCATCTCTTCAGAACCTCTGATCTGCCAGGAAGCCCGGGCATTAGGATTGGCACCGGTACAAAACAGCCGTCCCAGGCGTACGGCGAGCCCCGCTCCAAAGACACGAGACAACAGAGGCTATTAGTAGTCACGGGGCAGCGCTGGCAGTGCCACCAGAGACATGTAATACCTGCCCCGCGACGCTCTGACGCTAATCCATATCTGCCAGGACAGCTTCTTCACAGCCGAGTGGAAGGGACGGCTGACACGAGTCAACCGCGCGGGGAACCCGACCGCTCGATCCTCATCTTCAATTAAAGAGCACATCGAAAGTCGCGCCAGGCTGCTTCCTACTGTGAATATTTAGCGCACCACAAAGAGTCACCCCTTGGAGGCAGGATTCATGGGTATTCATTTGTCTGTCACATGTTTCCCCTTCCACTCCAAAGGCTAACATTCAGTGTGTTGCTCATAAGCGGTGATTATAACGTAAATAATAGACGGATTAGCTGATTTTATGAAGATGACTCGCTGTCTCCTTCTCTTCTATTTGTGTGTGGGAAGGTTGAGCGAGGCTCCATGGAAGCTTCTCTTCTATTTGTTTTCATATGAAAGAAGGAAGAACTGACTCTTTAGGCCGTGTATTAATTGGTATAATAATTAAGTTGTGTTATAAGCTGCTTGAGGTAACTTTTAAACGAATACTGCCTCGGGTGGAAAACACAAACACACCTCACACACACACACACACATACACACAAACAGCCCAGGTTCCCCCTTTGCTTCCTATCATTTATCATCATTTTATTGCAAGGGCACCAGGGGCGCAAAGTTATTACAGGAACAGTGGCGGTGGAAGCTGTGAGAGCCACTCCTCCAGAAGCTCCCGAGAACTTGTTGAGTAATAGCCGTGGGCCGCTATTCGTCATCCACACACCACCCATCTACCCATCAACACGCCCCATCAATCAGTCATGGATCCTTTGAGCATCCATCAAAGAGTGAGATT